TTCACAAAATGGGCTTAAATTTGGGCCTTCACGGTTTCATGGACTTAATTTGTAAACTTTTGAATTTTGTGGATTAAATTGTCATTTTAAACAAATTTGAGCCAAAGATGTAAATTTTTGGTTAAATGGGCCGAAAATGTCAATTTTGTTAAACTTGGGCCGAAAAGGTAAATTTCTATACATGTGGGCCGAAAATGTCAATTTTCATAAAAATTGGGCCGAAATGTTATTTCTATAAAAGTGGGCTAAAAATGTTATTTTATGTGAAATAAGCCTTTAAATGTAAACTCTTGGTCTTAAGGGACCTAAAGTGTCATTTTTACCAAATGTGCCTTAATTGTAAATTTTTGATTTTATGAACCAAAAATGTCATTATTACAAAAGTGTGCCTTTTATGTCATTTTGGTAAACAACTGAGCTTAAACAAACAATGTAATAACAAATGGACTAAATACGTCATTTACATGTTTATTGGGTTGGGCCTGAAATATACCTTACATGTTTATTGGGCCTTAGTGGTCCATTTACATGCTTATTGGGCTTGTAATATATCTTACATGTTTATTGGGCCTTAGTGGTCCATTTACAAACTTATTAGGCTTGGAATATACCTTACATGTTTTAGTGGGCCTTAGTGGTCCATTTACATGCTTATTGGGCCTCATACATTCACATACATACTCGTTGGGCCTTGTAAGTTTAAAACACACACGAAAACATTATTTACTGCGTTACATAGTATAATACAATATTCGTGTAAATTCAGTTAAGGCTCTTGTGAGACATTTCATTTATTCGTACCTATTTAGTGTACAATCATAAGCCTGTAGTTATAACCAGAGTCTCTTAGAGGGAGAGCGATAGTTTATGTATAGATCTATACGGGGTTGACACCACATACCTGAGTTGATCGCTACAGCTAACTAAGCCAGTCTAGGGTGACAAACCTTACCTTAAACAAGTCGGCGCATGAAAAACGTCATGACACGATTAACTCCATTATAAATTTACGGAATACATACACCATTTTGATGATACAAAAACATGCATACACTAGTACTCGGTCTTAGGGTTTTAAGACCACAACACTTTTACAATCAGAAAATATCGGATTTTCTGGGAAAACATATAACTATACAATACATTATACTTTCAACAGAAAATATAGGATTTTCTCAAACAGAAACACACATGCTTTAATACAGGATTGGACATAAAACTTTCAAACCATTTTTACAGAAAATATCGGATTTTCTGGTGTTTACTAGATGATACAAACCTTTTCAATCAAACAGCTAATGAACTCACCAACATTATATATGTTGACATTTTCAAAATAACTCGTGTTTTCAGGAAATCGTTAAGCAGGTGGACATCAAGAACATATGAATTTTTGTTGCATTTTGTTGCTATCACACATTTTATAATTTTGGGATGTAACTTTTGTAAACAGTTATAATGATGTAAAACATGTATTGTTGTATTATTGTATGTGTGATGATGATGTTATCTTGTTTTAATTATATACACTTTAATGATATTACAAGATAAAGGCATTCAACACTCGGATGTTTCCGCCGTTTTCTTCGGTTCGGGGGTGTGATACTATGTCACTCTATAGTCCTTCCTTTGTGAACAAATAGACTGGACAGTATTCAAATGATACTTATTTCACAATTCTAAATTCTTATCACTACTTTAAATGCGTTAGAATTTCAACCTTACACACATTGACCTTTTATGATGTCGAGGCTTCAAAGTCATAAAGACTTAGCCAACAAATATTATAAAATGTTCCATTAGAACTTTGTTGCTAAAACAATTCCATTAAACTAAAGTGTCATTTTGGTAAAAATGACACTTTAGAAAATGAATGTTTATTCTAAATTAAAAATGAAAAACTTGTTCTGAATATTATGACATTACTTCTATCTACTAACGTCGTACTCCATGTGCCCAAATGAGCATTCAAGTTAGGCCTTGTTTGTTTGCCTCTTAATTGGAAAATTAAGAGGTCGTCTCTTAATTTTTAAGATCTAGACCGTTTGATAGCTCCTGAACTTATACCTCTTAATTTGTTAGTCGCCTCTTAATTTTCAAATTTGGGGATATGTCTGAATTAAAGAAAAGAACGCACGTTCCTCTTTTGCCCTGATACTTCATCTTTTCCTTCTTCTCTTTCTTTCACAAACATCGACGCCTCATTCTTACTATATCTCCGATTGCACAATGACAACCCTCTGATATCCCTTCCGCCACCAGCTGACTGTTGCCTCTTCCCGCGCTGCCATCACCATCAATCGAGGCCTGTCGGAAATCCCCAAAGGCGAGCGGAAATGCTTCCGCAATTTCAAAAATTCTAGCAACACCGATCTCATCTTCGACTGCTTGATTATTGCCGGATGATTCGATTTCTCCAGCTCTTGTTTTATCTTCCTCAATTGGCTATGTTAAGCAACCAAACTCGACACACTTTCCTGTGCCGCCTCTGTATGATTTTTCATCCCCCCTCGTTATTATTTGCATCTCATATTCTAGAGTGTATAATCCAATGTTCCATTCAATCAATTTTGGAAATACACAGTCAATTTCCTAAGAAAAGTAATGGCTTTCTATCTGCATCTCATTAAAGCTCTTAAGCACACCAACTGTTTGTGAAAAAGTCCTGTGAGGTATTTTAATCAAATCACAAAGTTGTGATCCATATAAACATACATTTCAGATTGGAAAATCTTGTGAGGTTTTTTATTTGCATCTCATTGGAAATACATAGTCAAATATATGTTTTATAGAATGGTTTTTTAATCAAATCACAAAGTTGTGTTTGATGGGTATTAATGTTTAGATTGTATATTCTGTAATCATACTCTTGGTTGCAGTTTGATGGGTATTATGTTTCTAAATTGAAGATAAAAAAATATTGAATGACCTGCTACAAAAATAAGAATAAAGGACAGAATGGTCTTTTCCTTGTTATTATCAAGTGGGACTAGGTTATTCTAGATTGCATGAAGCATCGAGACTTTGGATGGCCAAAAGAAAGGAGTTGGTTGATGATTTAAAGGTTGTGCAAGAAAATTTTGAAGGGGTATTTTGATCTTCTTTTTGGAATTTTACATAAAAATGCTTTTTTTAATGTGATCCATGTAAACATACATTTCAGTTTGTTTTCATAGCATATTGTAAGCTTGTTTTTGTAAAGGTGAAGACATGAAATAGCAATGTACTTTTATATATTTCTTTATTATAGTATCATACTTTCACCTCTTCCTATTAGAGCATAATATTTTGTATGGTGTTATATATATATATATATATATATATATATATATATATATATATATATATATATATATATATATATATATATATAAGGAGTTTGGTTCAGTTATTTTACAAATAGAAACATTGAATTTAATGAAAAATAAGATGGAAGGGTAAAATGGTCATTTTTATAATTCAGCACAACAATTCAGAGGTTCCAACCAAATAGCATACTAAAAATTCAAATCTTAAAAATTCAGATCCTGCCAAACAGTCCCTTAGTCCTAGACTTAGCAACCAACATAATATCAACTGCAAAAAACGTACACCTCTAGTGAAGAGTAACTTAAAAATTTCACATATATTTTACATGATGATTGGTATTAGAGTAGAAGGCCCGTACCCACGTGGCTTAATACATCATTGTTTATCATCTTTAATAAATTAAGGTTTTTTTTACCACATGTCTTCTTCTTCTTCATTTGGATACATGTCATTTTTTTAGAATTTTAGAATATTTTATTTTCCACTTATCATTTTATTGTATTTTTCATTTTATGAAATTAAAATTTCACATTTAATATGTAAGGTATTTATTAGAAAATATTTAAATATATAATGTATTCAATGTATTAAAGCCTCATTAATTTTAATAATTAAATTTTTTTTCTCATTTTTCTTATAAATTTAAACTTCTCAAATTGTTAAAATTTCATATTTAATTTTTTTTAAAATAAACTCATGTAATACATGAGTCTCACACCTAGTTTTTATCGAGCTTCCATCTATAAGGAAGTTTTAGTGTATCGACATTAATACCATAAGATCTTATTTAAATATTTGTGTATTATAATCTCTCAAATAAGCTCTTTTGAAGAGATTTCCTAAAAACTTCACAAATAACTTAAATGTACATGTAAGACCAAGCGTTTTGCAAACAAATATACAATAATTATCATAATATATTTATAGTTGCGGTAAACAATTATTGAATAAAATAATAAAAAATACTAGTTTTATCTTTTAATCATTGTATCTATATTATTGTAATCTACTTCAAGAATCACATGCTCCACATGTTCAACTTGCTTTCAAAAGAATAATTATTTGGTAAGTTATAATAGATTTTGATTTCATGATTATGTTTCTATTTATTGTTTGATAATACACTATGGCAACATCTAAGTTTGGTTTGTTCAAAATGAACATTTTAAATCAAAATTTTCAGATATAATATTATATAAATAGAAGTATAAATGTTAAAAAACTGCATTTATACTTGAAATCGTTTTTGGGTTCCGTTTGATCTTAGAATTACCAAACCGAAAATTAAATACAACGTCAACATAGACAAACCAAAAGTTCAAAAATCAAATTTGAATTATTAGTTCGAAAAAGAATTGGAACGAGTCGCTTTCGATCTTTTCAAAAAAACTCAAATATTAAAAATACTTGTATATTAATTCCAAAACGCTCAAACATCGCTATGATATATAAATAAATAAATAAATAAATAAATAAATAAATAAATAAATAAATCATATGATGGAAACGTACTACTTTTCTAATTTCTATTGAATCTTTTGTCCCGTTACAATTTGATTCCCCATTTATACATTAGAAATTGAAATTTTTGGGCGATTCAAATTTTCCGTATCAAAAAAACATAATAACAAAAAAAAAAAAAAATCTAAAAACACCTCATGAATGAGAAAAAAGAAAATGTGTGTATAATATCAAGTTGCCAAGCAAGTTTCCCAGAAATTTCTATCAATCTCTCTTTGATTCGAAGAATCGACACAGCATTTACTAGATCCGTTCTGTTGCATAGACAGATCCATCATATTGCTCTCACCCCAATTATTCGTATCATCATCATCATCATCATCATCATCATCATCATAATCATCAACATCACCATCATCTTCATCAAAATCGTCATGGATTAATCCTTGAGTTTGATCATGATGGGTATTAACATAACTTGTGTTAATATAAGATGAATGATCATAACTGCAAGATTGAGCATCATTATCCTCATCATCCCCATCATCGAATCGGAATAATACACCTTCAGATTCATCCATGGCTGCTTCTTCATCAGCACCCGCTTTGACTTCTTCTGAATCGCCAGTTGACTCGAATAGCAAAAAGGGAGTCACATCTTTCATAGCATTCTTTCCATTCAGACACTGATTCCACTCCATCTCTCTCTAGACCTCTCTTTGTAAATACGTATGTCCTTTTTTCCAAGATCGTCTATATATAATGGTGTATATACAGAGCTCTGGTATATATATGTATATAGAGAAAGAGAGAGATGTAGAAACGTGTGATGGGGGTGGGGGGGGGGGGGTACCTGGGGTAAGCGGGTGGGGATGTTTAATTTGACACAGAAACGGGGGCGTGTTTGTGTTGGCTGGCCGACTTGTGGGTGAACATGTAGGAGCTTCTTCTAGAAGAAGGGACCATTCCTATTTTGACTTGCACGTGTCTCACATAATATTCTTTTTTTTTTCCTAGGATAATTACAGCTTTGGTATTGTTACATATTCAATCGTGTTGTGTATTTAAATCCAATAAAATTTGTTATTCCTGACACAAAAAAAAACATGAGTTAATACAAAATATAATAACCTAATCAAGTTCAAACGGGAGATTATACGTTTATAATTTTTTTCGAAAAAATAATATATGTTCGTAAAAGTCAGTTGCAAATGTAAATTATAACTATTAACATTAGAGTGTTTGGAATTAATAGTTATAGCTATAGGTCGAAAATATAAAATGATACTAGGTTATACCTTCTATAGTATTCGGTTAACAATTTTAGAAAATGAAGTTTATTTATTTTTCAATACATAAACGATAGTTTCTAGAACAAATTATTGAAATCGTCGATATGGGTAGCAAAAATTTCACACACAGAGAGAAATGTTCATTTAAAACCATGCTAATTTTGTAAGATATAGAGACACAATCCAAAATACTCATCTTGAAGATAAAAAAAATCTAAAATTATTACCATCTCGTGTGAAGATTTCAAGAACTCTTGACAACCCTGGAAGAAAATTTAGAGTTTGTCAAAACTCGATGGTAAATCAATATTGTTGAATATGTTGCAGGAGTTCTTGAAATCTTCACACGAGATGGTAAACCGCAATCACATGGATGATCAGCTTGAAAGTTATGGATTGGATATCGGAAATGGAGCTAGCCTTCATGACGTGTGGTTGCAAGGGCAAGTTACAAACCATATTTGCAGTGCGTCAGTTCAGAGGTGGCACTGTTCGCTGGTGGAACACTCTGGGGAAGACCCTAAGCCCTAACGAGCCACTGCAACTGTCTCGGGCAGAGTTCTTGGTGCAATTCAAGCGCAAGTTCTACTCGGACCAAAACCTGCTAGAGTTGGAGAACAAATTTTTGATATTGAAGAAAGACAGCATGTCAGTGGATGAATACACTAATTCCTTCATAGACAAGATGGAGTTTGCTTTGCGCATCGTCCTAGACGAGTTGACAAAAGTCGATCGGTACGCAACGGGACTCCCATGGGAGTATGCGGTGCCAGTGCGTCAGGCACCTACTTTAAAGGCAGCTATTTGGGCTGCCAAGTCTGTTGAGAATATGATCAACGGGATGAACACCAGCAAGGTTGAAGTTGGCGAGAAGAGAAAGTTGGAAGGAACTTCAGGTTCTAATGATAAAAGAAAATTTTCGAAGCCTGGAGCAGGAGGAAGAGATGAAGCAAGGTGGTGCGATAAGTGCAAGAAGAAGCACTCGGGAAAATGTGGCGTGGAGGTGACATGTTTCAAGTGTGGAAAGCATGGGCACTACGATGATGAATGTATATTCAACAAAAAGGTGTGTTACGAATGTAACGAAGAGGGGCACTTCAAGCAAGACTGTCCAAGGAAAAATCAAGCAGCAAGGCTAGAGGCACCGCCAAAGCCAAAGGCAAGAGCATTTCGAATGATCCTTGACGAAACAAATGGCAATGCAAGGAATCAGGAATGAGGATTTTATATCCAAAGATCAAGTTATGAAGAAGCAGTGTGAATAGTAACTTATGGTATAGCCTATCAGAGGCATAGTATAGGGTGAACTTGAACTTTTGTGTAATAGTTTCAAGAAAGTAATATAAACCCTAGTTTTATTATCTGGTGTGTTGAATGATTGTATGATTTTCTTGTATGATGACTTGGTCGACTGCGAGACAATACTTGGGACGAGTATGAGTAGGTGTGAAAGGTAGTAGATGCATATACTACCAGAAGCACAGGACTCACACCTGGATTAGGGAAAGTCACAAGGTTACCAAGAAGCTAGTAATTGATTCTGTTTTGTTCAATTGTGTCATTACCTTTGTTTCGGTAGTGACTAGTAAGATGATTGTTATTCCGACCCTAGTGGTCATATTCAAATTGAGTCTAACTACGGTGGGTATGTTACGTGGTTCAAAGTACCAAGTCCGAAGTAACATCTGACGTAAGTCAGAAGATTTAAGTTAATGCGATCATTGGTATCGCACTCATTGTTCATAAAGTTTGTAGCTAGAAATGCTACATGCTGAAATGTGATTATATCACATTAGAATATGAAGGAAGGTATATTCCATTCTGGAATTTAACTTTAAAAAGACCGAGTCTAAGCGTCGCATCGTGCGATGAGAAGTCAGTATAGTACGACCCATTGGTCTGTTACAATAGATAAAGGAAAGTGTTTATCCTAAGAAGAAGAAGGAGTCCACAATAAGGACTTATTTGGTAACTTGAAGGTTACAATTGAAAGTACAACATAGTACGATAAGCAGATGCAAGATTGGGCATCTTCTGCGGTCAAGAAAGCCATAGAGTTAAATACTCTTTCGAGGAAACATAGAAGTTACGATTATTACCTAGGATGAATAAATAACGTGTGGAATCATTATGCAAGTCCTATTTTCGTTGATGATTCCGGGACGTAATCATCCTACGGGGGAGATAATTGTAACGCCCGTAGATCTGGGCTAGTCAATTTAGAGACGATAGGCGTCAAAAATAAATTTTTGATGAAATATTATTTAGAATGAATAATATTAACTAAGTTATAGTATATGTTACAAGGTTTCCATGCATATAAAGAACGCCGAAATCCGAGTTACAACGACGAAGTTATGACCTGTCAAAGTTTCGCAGCAGAACCGGTACGATGCTGAATGACGTAAAAAGTGAATTTACGTTAGAGTGATATTTAGCCTTAGCAATCTAAACGAAAGTCGTATACTTTGTTAAACCATGAACGTGCATAAAAAGAACGTCCAAATCTGACTTTGTTTGAGGAAGTTATGATTTTTCTAAGTTTCGACTTAGCGGTATGCAGCCCGAATACTCGATTTGAGATCGAACGATTTTAAGCCGAAATAATCTAAACGAGAATCGAAGATCTCGTTAATTGTAGTGAAACGATAAAAAGATAGGGGAAAGCGGACGTCAGATAAATAAGTTATGATTTTATAACGGAGTTTTCATGTCCCGACCTACTAAGAATAAATAATAAAAATAAAGTCAAAATTAGCCAACAAAGTCTAAACGAAAGTTGTAGAGCGTAGTCTCACCTACGCGGGGATATAAAGAACGTCGAAAACGGAGTTTGTATGAGGAAGATATGAATTTTTGAAGTTTATTAAATATTTTCGATATTTAATTTAATTATAAATTAACCGATATTATCCATGGGGGGAGTCAGCGATCTGATCTACATTACGCCCAACGTAATGTAAATTTACGCCCAACATTAATGGGTTTCCAGCCCCCTATAAAAGGGTGTCGAGGGCAACCGACGTCTTTGCTCATTTCTTCCCTTTATCTCGCGTTTTTGTATCGTTTTTCGTGCAAGAATTATCCCGAGCCCCGAAGATCCCAAGAAGTGAAATTCCCGAGCCGAAGCTCTGCTCGCGAGGAGTCCAGTTTTTGTGAAGATCTTCCAGATCTACCGAAGAATACTACTTCTACAAGCCGTAGTGTTGTCCGATCATCTTCTGATCAAGCGAGTGTGTTGTTACCTTCTTCTAACGCATAAATATCAAGTATTTGCTATGAAATACGTGCTATGTGTATACTATAAAGTTGTTTATATCTATGGGTGTATATTCCTTTTCATAAACACGTGTATAATACAAGTATTGTTTGAATGTATTAAGTATATGTTTGGGTGAATGTGTGGTTACTTTCTTCTAACACATAAATATGAAATATTTGTTATAAAATACGTGCTATGTGTTTATATATTGTTGTTTATTTGAGATGAGTGTGGAATGGATGTTTTATATAGTTTTTAAATGAGTTAAACTGTATATGTATTTTTGTATCTACAAATATGTTGGGTAGAACATGGGTAGATGAGATAGTTGGTATGTGATAAAATGATGAGGTATGAAAGATGCGCTTAAGAATAATATCGGTAGATGCACCAAGTAGTGAATGTCGTAATCATGACAGATGTGCTTATAGGATAATGTCGGCAGATGCACCAAATAGAGAATGTCATAATACTAGCAGATGCACTTATAGGATAATCCTGGCAGATGGGCTTATAGGATAATGTCGGCAGATGTGCCTAAAAGAGAATGTCATAAACCTGGCAGTGGCGCCTCATAAGTATATGACGTAATCCTAGCAGAGGCGCTTAAAGGATGATGTTGGTAGATGCGCCTTATGTAGTAATAGATTTTGTGCTAATTCCTTACGTCAATCCTTAGGAATGAATGAATGACGGGTAGTTGAATTCTTAGGGTAAAATCCTATGAAATAAAGAAGATAATAGGGATGGGTAATTGGGTTGATTGTTTGATGGTTGAATATAATAATTATATTACTGTGGGTTGAAAACCCTATATGCTCACCAGGCTCCCAAGCCTGACCCACTCAGTTTTCTTTGTATCACAGGTATCGATACGAAGATATATTTCACGGAGACATTAAAGGAGATGTAAAATCTTTAGTGTAAATAATGTAAGTTCTGTTTATGCTTATGTGTCTGTATCGGAACATGACATCCCGAGATTTTGTTATATAATGAAAATGCATTTCTTTAAAGAAATGATTTGATAATTTTTATCATATTTTGTTTTGGGAACAAATTCCGCAACTGTTTTCTTTAAAATATTACTCTGATTTTAAAAACAAAGCATAAACAAATCGGTCTTTTCTGGCCGAGAAATTGGGGA